TCTGAGGAACATGGAGAGACACAGCCTTTGTGTCTATGTGGGAAGAAAGATCAGTAACTTTGGAAGGAATATGCACTAAATACATTATTTCAGGTAAATTGTGAGTAAGAACATAGCACTTTCAAAAATAACATGGTGAAGCTGAACAATTTGTTTACCTTTGATACTTCAGTATTGCAATTCCCTTTTTTTTTTTTTTTTCAAGTTCTTGAAGCTACATTCTATATATCATTATTCAAACAAAGGAAGTTGGGTAAATATTTTTCCTTCAAAGTCATCAATATGATTGGAGAGAAGAAAATAACTCATCTTCCTGAGAGTGCTTTCTGCTGGGAACAGGAGCTTCTACATAGTCTTATATGGTGAATTATACCAATGGACTATACACCTATCATAATAACTAATATGAAAAAATATCTTAATCGTGGCCTTAGAACTAATAAATCAAGGATAGTCTTCTGGCTCATATTACAGTATATTTTTATAAAGTGCCTTTATTTATCCTTCTGTAAAATAACTCAAATGCAGCAATAAAAGTAGACAAATGGAACTTAATGAAATGAGAAACAGTTATACCTTTACACCTTCACAAAAGGATTCTTCTAAGCCCGGCACTAAAGCTCAGAGCCTTTTTAAAGGTAGTTACAGAAGTGAATGCCAGAGGTGAGGTTTAATACTGCCTACGGTTTTGGGGATTTGTGCGATTGCTGCTGTGTTGTTACAAGACTGCAACAACACAAGTAAAGGCAAGGAAGCAAAGAAAATCCAGGCAGTTGCCAGAATAAATTTGTTCAAACGCTGTTGCTGCAGCTTCTCAGATGAACAGTCTGCTCTTCTGAGTATCTACTGTGGGAAAACTAATGACCCTGGAAGTGATGGAAAACAAATCAGAAATCTATATTACTCAGACATTTTAAAGTGAAACGAAGTTTTGGAATTCCATGTGCTTTGAGAAAGAAATGGAGATCAGCTGTATCTGAGGGAAGAAATGGGAAAAAAACGTAATGATAGTGAACCTTGCCTTTGTAAGTAAGGATCTTTTGTGTGAGTTTTAAATTCATTGCTGGACTTGTAGCATAGAAACAATTAGGCAAAAAAGCAGCATCTTGGCAGAAATCTTTTGGATGTGAGAATCAACGTCATTATTATAAATAGCAGACAAAGACTATTCCCTAGGATGGGACTGTAAAATGTCTTGTAACTTAATGCAGACAGGAACGGACTTCACCTTTCCTGGAAGCCCATGACTCCCATGTGGGGCTTTCATGTAGTCAGAGCTTTGCAGGCACAGGTTTTACTACAGCAAACACAGTTTTTCAAACACGTACTGAGTTTCTCACCAATTCAAATGGAAGAAGCACATCCCATAATATGGTTCAAATGGCTCATCCCCTACCTATTTGAAGCACCTTCATGTATAAGATCCACACGTTTCTCACAATGCTGGTGCAGCCTTTATCTTCTAAGGGAAGCAATGAACAAATAAATTCAGTAGCAAAGTGCTCCACCTCTTCTTTAGTTTTAATGTACAGTGTGCTTTAGTTTCAGTGAATAGATATTAAGAGAATGCTGACCTAGTTTCAGCAGTAAATACATAAAGCAAATGCATAAGCATGTACTTAATTAAGCATGCCATTAACTGAGTCTTTGTCTGGTCTAGACTTTTCCATGTGCCAGTATGCTGTAAGTAACCCAAAGAGCAAAGGATATCACAGTTGCACAGACAAGGGTGGGGGGAACTGGCAGAGCAGCAAATGATGAATGTATAAAGAAATATTAATTTGTTTAGGAACTACACAGAAAACAAATCACTTTCCACTGTGCTTCTCCTTTGCCACTCCAGCACTGTGAACAAATACAAAAGATTTGCCAGATGAAATTAATGCATCAACACTCCTAGTGAAACTAAAAAGAGACTGGCCAGTAACCACCACTGCCTGCTGAAAACCTGAACCTTGTATTAGCTGCAGTGGCCGGTCTCTGGGTTATTTTCTGTTTATTTAGTTAAGTAGCCTCATGTGGAATGAGCAAATTGAGAAATGCAAGCCAAGAGTGAGTGAGTTACATTTTCCCAGAGAAATGGGAAGCTTTTTGATGGTTAAATACAGTGCTGCGCTGGAGTAACACTATATTAAATAGTCAGGATAAAAGCAGAGGAGTATACGAAAAACAATGTTTCTCCTTCTCCTACATCCACATTTAAATAGAGAAATACCATTGTAATTATATTTTGAAATGTCCCTGAGTTACTGTATCTACAGAATTACTATTTTAAAATCACAGTCTGCTATTCTAGTCTTTTCAAAAGACCCAATTTTATTCTTCCTTATGTAGGTGGGGTTTCTCTAGCATCTCATTCCTTCCACCTCTAGTCTCCATACAAAGAAGCACTCTTCAAAGGACAATACATCCCAAGTGGATAAGTGTACACATATTATGTTTTGCAATATGTAATTTTGTGGAGCTGCCTAGTCACAAGTTGCTAGCATTCCTATTTGTTTCCAACTGCTAAACAGTTTCAAAGGACAGCTAAAAGTCTAGGGACCAGTTTTGTAAAGCTACTTTTAAGGCAAGCAATCCATGTGGCTGCTCCTAAGAAACTGCTACAGTGAAGACGATGGAAAGTCATCTGTTAATCTCTTAACGGGTGAGCTGTGCAATGAAACAGATCGAGAACCTGAGTAAGCACTGCGTGTTATTCTTGCATATAACTACCACCCAAGTCACAACAAATTTCACTTGATGTGAGCTAGCAGAGTACCTACACACCATCCCAGGCACATTTCTAGCACATAAACCAGTGGTAAAAATGTCTTCATATGCAAATTGGGAGCAGCAGCAGCTAGCTATAGGTTAACTCTGGATAGGCTAATACCAATTACTGAAGAAAAGAAAAGAGAAAACAACCTGCCTACCACTTGTCTTAATATCCTACAATTCCATCCCTCACGACAAAAAAAAAATCCTTAAGATGCTTCAGGAGGCCTCTGGAAAAGGTCTCTACCTCTAATACATGTTAGACGCCTACAGAATTCACAGTGGCTCAATATTTATTAAATGATATAGGCCATTTTACTTAGGCTTGTAGCCATGGCATGCAAGCGAGGACAAAAATACAGTAGCAAGAAAAATATTCCATGACAACAAATGCTTTGAAGCATTCACATGAAGGATACTCTGACAATGGACTTGAACTTGCACATCATTAATCATGCAAGTAGCCTTGGCTGGCCCAGGTCCATGTGCATTTTCGGAGATATTTATATGAATGCAGATGAGCAAAAGCAGATTATATTTGTATTTTAATAGCTTCTACAGAGCTAAATACCACTCTACATTTAAACACATTATTCCTGTTTAAACCCATGACAGGTCTGAGCACAGACACTGAATGGCCTGTATCCGTGAATGCTTCAAGTCTGCTTTCTGCCACTTTTAAGTTCACCGTATGCTCATATTCTAATTCATTCTGAGAACCTCTGAGAGCTCCCCCAAAAATTGCACAAAGCTTGTTCTGTGGGTAGAGCCTCCCAAGGTCACATGGCTCAGTGTTGCTATAGAACATTGCTAATAGTATAATGGCATTCACCAGTGTCTTAAATTGCTGAGTATTAACAAGCACCTTTAAAAACACTTCGCAGGGTGATTATTGTGGCTAATTTCTTCTGACAGGACAAGTCAGCTATACTACGTGGACTAAACACCACCTCGTTAATTCAGACGCCATGTGCTCCAAGAAACATTTCTTTGACATTAGAGAGTTATATGAATTGTTACTCTGCAAAAGAGAGAGAGAGAGAGAGATTCAATGTTCTGATCTAAATCTTGAAATTCTGGTTTATTCTCTATTCAGTCCTAGCCGTGGCCAAATTCTATTAACCTTAAATGGAATTTGGCTTAGCAATGAATTCAGGATTTGGCCATTCTTTGAAATATGACATATACTTGAATGATGGCTTTCACTTCATACCAAATGCTACTGATGATCACATTCAAAACCTCTCAGTTTCTTAGAGTAATGGATTCAGAATTTGTTTATAGCTCATTATCAAGTACCCAATCATGACATCTGTGATCAATCTTAGTAGTAGTAGTCCTGTCCACATGAGGAATCCCTCTGACATCACGGGACAGCAGGGTGAAGAGTAAGGTGCTACCTACTTTGATTAAGAATGACATAACTGAGCCCACGGTATTCTGTATTTTGCACATCAGGCATAGATTTAGTGAAGGAACTACCACCCCTGCAATAATACTGCCTTGTATTATATGATGCATTGTGGTCACACAGCAGCACAGCCCCATCATAAAATAAAGGCTGCACCTGCCCTGGGACAACTGATAAAAACACATCGCATGCACATCCAAATCTAAGGGCTTGTCTTGATGCTAAGTATTAGCTGTACTGATCTAACAAAATGTCTCGGATAATTTATTGACTTCTATACATTAATCTTGCCCTGGATCTAAGTTGAGTTTAAAGTACAACTAGGCACAAACATACAGTGCTCGTTATTATTAAAACAAATAGAAATCTTTATGGACATTTTCAAAATATATTTTAGCCATACAGTGCTAAATAGATCAGGTATGCCATAAGAGTCACCAAAACACTTGAAGGTTTACGTGGTGTTATGTTTCTCTTGTATTTGTGACCCTGAGTCCCTGTAGTGAGCTTTGATCTTCCCATTTTGCAGCATTTACATTCTCTGTGTCTTGAATGAAAGGGGAGGCAGGTGAGAGCACATTGCACTGCGTGGAGTATTCTCCAGCTGCATCATCCAAACAGTAACACAAGGGAGACACATGGTTATGGATCATTGCTTGGCAAAGACACTACAATGACTTGATGAAATCTTTGCTAAGTTTCAGTTAAGAAATTAAGTAAGCAGAAACTGTAGATGTTAAATAAAAAAGAGAGAAATCTTCTTTAATCATGGTATCTTTTGCCAGAAGGTAACTTCAGGGCTTATTAAAGATGGAGCTAGGAATCTCTTCCCCTAGTTTTCATGTTTCCAAGGCTCTTCTTCAATAACACTGAAGTCTGCAGATTTGCCATTCGTTGCCAGTGTTACCTGCAAGTAATTATGATCAACAACCAACTTAAAGGCCAAGGCACTTTGACAAGAAAAGTCATGAGTTTTATATGGAAGGTCATGCTATTTACAGGAATTACATACACCATGTTTTATTATATATGTAAAATGTATTTATTCAGAATTCACAACACTCCCAAATAGTGAGACTCCTGTTCATTTATTATACTGACTAGAAAACATTAGCAGTAGAAAATTGTTCCATATTTTCTTAGCCTTTGCTCTGGGTTTTTTTTTTTTCAATAAATATTTCACATTCTACTCCTTTTTATCTCCTACAGATTTTTCTGGATTAGTTAAAAAACAGATTACTTTTTTAAATGTAGAAAGTCATATTTTTTTCAGTGGAATTCCTTAGCAAAGCAGGATAGCTGATGCAAGGACATGAAAAATATGCAAGGCCAGAATAATCATAGATGTGTATCTATACAAACTCACCTACAATTACACCGCCTTTAAAGAAATGGAGGAAAGACATGCTGTGAAAGTACTGTTCATCGTACCACTGTTTCTAACAATGCAGTGAAAGATTTTTACTATAGTCAGACCAAAAATTCATAATGCTGCTATGTTTGTCTCACACAAAGTACAGCAAAATATCACTCTTGCCTGTAAAGATACGTGCTAAAATTTTTCATTTTTAAGTATGGTAGAAGACTTACAGTGATCTACCAACTCACAGTAAACACTGGTGAGTATGTTGCATCCCAGAAATCACCATTAATATACCTATGCTTCAAGAAAGATATCTCCAGCCAAATGACTTAAAAGATTTAAAAAGGTAAAATGTCAATTTAACTTTACAAAAGTGATCTAGATCTTTACAATTGTGAGAGGACCTTTCATTTAATTGTAAATGGATGGGTCACTCTTCCTAACTTACCTTGTAAGTTAACATCCTCAGCTTCAAATGAAAACTTAAAGACAGAGCTGAATTTCCCCATGCTGGATAAACTGGATGCATGGAAGTATTGGGACATGGAAACATGACAAAATGCACTGATTTTTGAAACAAAGTCAAGCTATTTCTTAGATAATTGAAAGGGGGAAACATGCAAATACAGGAATGAACAACTTATTCAGAAATGAAAATTACACAGAGTCATGTGAAATACGATAATAAAAAAAATACAAAAATATTGTGCAATAACAACCACTCTACCCCCCATATAAACTACTTATTAAAAATTTACATTGATCATGCAAAATTATAAACTATTAGTGCTATACATGGAATATATTACATAAAGTAAATAGAAAGGACATGCTAGTTGACTAGCTTTTCCAAATTCTGACCAGAGTTGCAGTGAGCTTTTCAACCCACCAGTGCATTTGACATGATGAAGAGAGGTCTCTTCAGACTTAACAGCTGACTGTTTTGAAGCCCCAAATCCTAGACTCTGTTGCTTTTGCTACTGTAACACTTGGGAGCTGTAGACCACTTCAACAAGATTCAAATGCTTTGCAAATGTCAGCATATATTCATAGCTAATGAAGTAGACTGTAACATCACATCCTTTTGGCAGTTTGCAGACACGGACGAGAAGTGACCTGCTCAGAGTCAGTCTTGTGCTCAATCCAGTAAACCCTGACTCTTTTCATGAGTTTAAAAGTGCAAAATGAGATCACAAGTAGAGCAAACCCAAAACAATGTAAAAGAACAAACACTTCTAGCTCATAAATCACTGGTCACAAATTTTAATAAAATGATGTGCTTAGGATGACACATTGCACCATTAATCTATGTTTTTGAGGTAAGCTAATGACTCAGTTGAGGGAAATGATAAGAGAAACTGAAGGAGAAAAGGAAGTGCAGCAAGTATTGCATCAACAGGCTACTACTTTGTAGCCTGACTTGAACCTCTGTGCAAATCTGAGATCTTTTATCAAAGGAGAACTTTCTTCTTCAGGGAGCTTCTTTTTTCCCTCAAATTTTTATGTCTCCTGTGTCCTTTTTTTTTTTTTTTGAGAAATATAAATTAATGACAATTTTTAATTTTGTGTAAGCATGTATCCTCTTTCCATTTCAAAATTTTTTTCCTTTAATTTTTCTCATGGAAAAAGAGTGGGTCAGAAGAGGAAGGGGAGAGCCATATCAGAACAAAACGTTTCTTTTCATTTTAAAAAGCATTTTGTTAAAAACTTGGAAGACTCAGGAAAAATTGAGGATAAAATGTAAGTTTTTTCTTTCCTGAATTCAGTATTACTTTTCCCCCTGGAAGTTCAGGTTTGGACTGACTTATCTAGAAGTAAGCAATAGAAAAAAATATGTTCTAAAGAACACTTCCAGCCAGGCTGGAGACAGGTGAAAGTGATAGAATAGGACTTATATTTCCAGCATATATAATGATCTGCTAATGGACTTAGTGTGAGCATTCACAGTTAGATACTGGCTCAGTTGTGGCAACTGGAAGATGCAAGAGAATCTCTTTGGATAACTGGCTAAGGTAGGCTCAGTGGCAAATTCACTGTGTCGAAGACAGTGTACAGGATCAGATCAGAGTATTAATAAATAAAAAAAAGACTATGAAATGAAATGTTCCAGCTTGTTTCACTCTCTTTCTCCTCCTTTTCAAAAACTCTCTCTTGATTTTAAACTGCCCTGTCCTAGTGGTGCATGCTTAGTAAACTTTTAACCACTAACCTCCCCAACTGTTTTCTCATTCAACTGGTGGAGTTTCTCAAGCTCACTTTGCTCTGATCAAGATATTATTATTACTATTAATAATCCATGTTAGTTACAGCAAGAAATAGAGAGAGAATATGATGTTTGTGTCTTAATGACTCAGGAACAATGATGGAAGCAAAGCGTAAGCATGCTGTATGAGTGCAGGAGCATTCTGATGCTAAAGTGCATTCAACATGTCCATCTCTGAACAGCATATCATGGAAGGCAGTCAGCAAATGACAACACCTGTATCTGAATTGCAGCTATCCTTCATTTGGATTGGCAATTAAGTTCTCTGTTGCCATAGAAAATCAAGTAAATGTCCATAGAAGGTGATGCCATATTGTCTGTGTCTCGGCATGTTCCATAATACGCTGCATCTTGCCTTTTGATATGTAAACAATGTACATGATTTTTTCCCCTCAAATGACAACTTTTAAGAGTGCAAAAAAACATCTTTTGAACTGCTCAAACTCATTCAAAATGTCTGGGGTTCATGGACCTTGTCACATTGTTATTTGCAGAATGATTTGAAAAATACATGCAGGTTAAAAAAAATAAGATAAAATAAAGCATGCAGTGCTATATACATGTCTCAATATCCATAAATGTGAAAGGTACCTTGCACTCATCTACTATGACTGAGTTGTGAGCTGCAAAAACACATTGGTTTGAGTTGTTTTCCCTATGATTTTTCATGTCGTCATAAACTGACTGAGTCTTGGTCATTTCAATGTCTTCGTGCCCTTTATGATGGGAATCAATGGTGTCAAGTTCTGCCTTGGAAAGGTGGTAGACAATGCCAGCACCAAAAGAATCCCCTACTACATTGACTGACGTTCTCATCCGGTCCCTACAAAAGAAGCAAAAGGCAGAGGCTGAATGGCATGAAAAGAAGAAAAAGTAGGGCATGGCAGCCCTGTTAATGTTACAGTTACTGTGTTTATTTCCAGCAGTTTAAGGCATCTTTAGAATAGAAAGATAGGAGCTTTCAAGTGAAATTGAAAAAGCTTGCTTTCCCCAGGGACTTGTTCAGACAGGGAGGATGTGCAAACTCCCATGTCCCAGCTGCTCATACCAATGGATTTTGGCAAAGAACTTGCACTAGACATACAGCCAAAATGCAGAGCTGCGTTTGACTGAGATCTCCCCAGCACCTGCTTCTAGAGCTGGAGGTTTCAATGTCAGGGTGCCAGACTCACATCATTGCCCTTTGTTTAATCTGAATTTATCACAGCACTGAACTTAATGCAGCCAGGAAAAGATTTTGGATCTGATGAAGTGTTCTAATTTCTGGGACGGATTAACAAATGGCCTCTTCCTTTATTCTCAGTGAGCAAACTATGGGGAAAAAAATGCCTGAATTATCTCCATAAGACTCAGGCCATCAAAGCTCTTCTCCTGGCACCATCTTTACAGATGGTCATCTGTTAGCATGGCAGCATGCCCACTCACACAACTGTATGCCAGAGCTCAGCATATGAGCCAACCAAATACAGGTCATGGCCTACAAAATGATGAGCCTGTGACAGCATTTCAGTAATGAGTGCTCCTTGTTGTAGGAGGGTGCCAACAGAGGCTCGTATGCTTCATTACGAAGAAATGTGCTTGTTGGCACTTCCTGGACAGGATACCATTGGACAGACATGCCATCTTTCTCCTGTCTTGTTTTTAGAGTGTTGCTCTATCTGTCAGCAATAAACTCATGGTTGTGGATTTTCCCTTATTTCAGAATTCTGCCCCAAACCTGCCCAAAATTCTGCAAAAATGGAAGATGGTCTTACAGAGCAGAACTCTGGGGTCTTGCTGTAGGTAGGCTGTATTACACATGTTGAAATCATTTACAAATTTGCCTCTTTATATCTGAACATAAGACTCCTACAAACCTCCTGACTGAGAGCTGCAATGTAAAGCTACTGCAGCAACTGAGTCTAGTTTTGTCAAAGAGGTCAGAGAAGCAATTGCACTGATTAGTTCTCAGAGGTATATCCATGAAGACTCATTTACACAAAATGTTGAACAATGTTGAACAGTTGGCAGGTTGAACAGTGTGGACATTTGCCAAGTGACAGGAAAACCAGCATGTAAGACCTCATTTCCCATGACAGTGATAATTTGAAAACACCCTTTCTAGCATTTCTGGTACTAGATTTGTGTAATATTTCCTTTTGCTGTAGAACACTGAGAAAAAAAAAACCCTAAATATATATAAACCCCTAACTGATACGCATTCATTACACATGTCTATTCCTGGCCATACAAACTTTTGAGCCCTTTTTAACATCTTTGCTCTAAATATCTGTAAATCTGCCTTTCCCAGCTGTGGAATTGCATTCCCTTTCAAGTTTCTCCTCTCCCTCTCTACATTATCATGCTTACATATTTGGAGTTTGCGGTGTAATATCTTAGTTGAGGCAGTTAATTTTTTTTAATATTTTGTCATCAAAAGAATATGCAGAAGTAAAAAAAAAAACCTCCAATAATACCCCTGAAAAACAAACAGACAATCCATAGGAGGAAAACATCGTTCCAGTTTTGCTTCACACAAATAAAATCCTTTATGCAGCTCTCATCCCATGCTTATGAAGAGTCATGCTTATGAACCTGGTCAGAGTGGCAGAATAGGAAAATATGACTTTCTGAGTGTAATTTTTAATTAAGATCATCAAATATACTGAACCTAGCAACACAGCTCCACAAAAAGAACAGCTGCTTAACATTTTGTATGAGCAGTATTACATTTTGGAAGGATTCACCGATGGCAGACAATGAAGGGATAGTACAGGATGCAAAAAAAAACAAGGTGGAGAGAATACATAAATATAATTTAGGCACAATTCAAATTCTGAAAAGGTCATTTGAGGAGATGGTCCAGCCCATATGCATGTATTACTAACGGAGAGATTCAGCGATACAAACCTCACAGCGCTGCAGAACATGCTACACTGTACGAACCAAAGTAAACAAGTAAGTTCCTTACAATAGGAAGAACAAAGTCTCAACAGCAAAGTGCCAATGACCTCTTTTGGGCCAAAGAACACCCTAAGAAGAACAAAGAAGACTCTACTTACTCTTTTGTTAAAAAACAACCAACCAATTAATTCCAGCTATGCTGGAACAATGTAAACAAAATCAATATAGGAAAGCTGCAGTCTAGTAAATTACTTGCTCCAACACAGCTACGTCTGCATTGTCCATAACAGCTTCTGAGAGGAATTATGGGACTGAAAGTCAAAGTTCTTTCTCAAATGTCAGCTCAACATCTGGTACGAATGGGCTTTGGAATAATTAGGAAGTAATTATTTAAATCTTGATAAGAATTAATGCCTAATTTCCTCAAACTGATAAATCAGACGAACTGGAAGCTTAACAATGTAGATGAACGGAATAGAAATGTGAAGAATTGAATCAAGCCCCCTTATTATTCATGTCATAGTGCCTATATAGCATGCTAGTATGCAAATAAGTTACTCCTGTTCCCCGAAAGGTTGAAAAACCTGTATATCAACCTCACTAGATTTTAGAAAGGAGATTAAAATCTTAGCACACCTGCTAAGTCAAAGACCAGGTGGCATGTTCAACTTGCCTTACCTCTTTGTCATTATAGGAAAGAGCTCCTGGTTTTATAGTTTAATTCAATTTATATTAACATCCATATGTTCATAACATCCATATGTTCATAACATCCAGATGTCAACTGGGTCTGAATATTCTGAATTTAGATCTAAAGCAAGGAACAGAGTCAGAACTCAAGCACTCTTTTTCTGAGTTACTGAATGAAGGTTTAAATACTGGATCAGGTGTCCAATTCCATTTTCTCTAATTCCTCTCTCTCCACTGCAAAATACTACTGTATTTGAGGTTGTGCTATGATATTTGCTAAGCTTGTCAGTCACATCTGGAAAGTAGCCAGCTTCTGGCTAGAGCAAAAGAAGTTGGTTTTATCCCAGCTGTTGGCACATAATTCATGTCCTATTACCAACACTGCTCTGTTGTGCTTACTTTTAAACTGAGAAACTATGTGAGTTGTGAAATATTGGGAAATTTGCCTGATGAAAGAGCTCACACTGTGTATGTACATGTGGGAGGGGGAAAGGTTGAGCAACCTAACTTCTAGATATTGGAGAGGCTTGAGAAGAAATTGATACAGAAACCTTTAGGCTTCAATTTGAAGGAGAGAGTGACGAGTTTAAGGACATTCAAAAGTCAGCTTTTTGTTACAACGTGACCAAATCATGCAAAACTGGTTTTGGTAAGACCACAGTTCCAGATGATGGTAGTATTGTAAAATCATTGATGTTCTGATATTTTCTTTCATCAGAAATATTGAAAGACTCATAGAGTATGACATTTTTTTAAAAGCTTTGATTATCTGGAATCGAAATGTTATAAAAGAGCTATTCCAAATATTTCTCAATGGCTGCTTGAATTTACACACTGGTTCCAGAAAAATGGCTAGAATTGGGTCTTAAATATTTTATTAACTCTCTCTTCTACACTCTGTTAGAAATACTGCTGTAATGTTATTTGATGATCTAAAGAAATGGAAGAAGACAATGTCTGTAAGTAAAGAAAATATCTTTTTATGACCTTTTGTTTCAGATATTCTTTAGGTCTGCTTCGTGTGCCCAACAGCTTGCTCAAAAATCAGCTTGTGTGCCTTTTCTTAACATCAGCAATGTCAGCAGCATCATTTTCCATATCTCACTAGATCATCGTGGCTACCACAACACAACCACTGGAAGATGGAAAATAAAGCTATTAGCTGTTGACATATGTTAATTAGCACAACACTTCCACCAACAAACTTTGTCTTAATTTTACAGCACCAGCGGCATGACACAGAGCTTTTCATCTCCTTCTTTATCTCTTTTCCCACTTCCCTCTACCTTTCAATTCTGAATCACACTGCAATTGCACTGCTGATTGTTAAGCCAGAAGGATCCAAAACCAACCGCTTGTGCTGAAAGGTTCTTTTGCCTGGCATTTATTTTGGAAAGATACCTTGAAATACTTCTTTCAAAAGTACTATCCTTCCTATACTTACATTCATCACCGCTACGACTCCACAGTACAGAAGGTTTTATTTCCTAAGCAGGGTTGGATGAGCCAGCAGTAACAATGCTGCTGAAGCCAAGCCTGAAATGCAACACCTACTAGTGGATCAGAGCTGCTGGTAAACTTATGGCTATGAGGTTTGCTACTGTTGGCAGAGCTTCTCAGTCCACAGGAATATTTTTAAATGACATTTTCCTAAAAAAACAAACAAACCACAGGCTCCTTTTGCACATCCTCCTACCAGCTGCAGAAACCTACCTATTTGCCTTACTTTGAGAGCCAGCAAAAACATTTATTTAAAATGAGTATGCACCTCCCTTTTGCTCTCCTCCTCCCAGCTTCAGATTCCTATGCCACTTTCCTGTTTTCAACCATGACCTCATAAATATAAAAAACCCACAGAATATCACATTTTCCCCTACACCAGCTGTACTCTGACTGCCGAACCCTGCCTCTTTCACCATTCTGAGTCACAGTATCATGATATTCAGTTATATATAAAATATGTAAGTCATCTTTTCCCTTTGCCTTTCCAAGCTGTAAATGCCTCTTTCATTTTTCCCTGAAGCAGAAGTCGGAGCTGTATGCTCTTCTTCACAATTCTTAGTGATTCTTGGCGCATAGAAACTGACTTCAGTAGCTCTATAACGATTTGTACCAGCTGAGAAGCTGCTTTCAGTGTCTCTTACTTCATTAAATAGCCTGTTTCTTCCTTTGCCTTAACTGTAGATGAGAGTCTTACAGTTCTTTAAGATCAATGGCTGAAAAGCACTACAGACAACCATTACTTCACTACTTTTTCTGCACTGAGCAATGGAGTCAGCACAACTTACAAAAGCCAGTCAACAGCAACAAGCAAACTGATGTCCTGGGTAGGGAGACCCACTGCAGTAAGGATCAGAAGCATAGTGACGAGTCCTGCGCTGGGAATACTGGCAGCTCCAACACTTGCAAGGGTGGCAGTCAAACTGCAAAAACAAAAATTAAATGGGGGTAGCAGGAAGAGGAACATACGCTTTCATTGCATACTGATGTAAACATTAGGAAGGTCTTATTTTTAATAAATTCTTCCCAGAAAATAACGACTATATGATAGATCACAGTAAGTTCAGGCAATAGTTTTCACACTTGTGTTTCTACAAAAATTTTTATTAGGGGTGGCCAGATCTATGGAGTTTGTTCTGAGAGTTGTAAGAGAGTTGTCTCAGAGATTTAAGTTCTGAAGTGGGTTATGACATTCAAATCTTTGGCCTAGTGTTGTTTTCTGAGCTCTACCAACACATTCAGGGTCTTGAATCCTGAGTTTTGATCATCCAGACCTGCTGAAGTTTCGTGACTTCAGGGTGGTTCATTTTTGTTTATTTATGGTACTTGAAGTCTGACTTGTGAGGTACTGGCTGAAAGTAAGTCGTTATTATCAAGTACAGAAGCGTAAAAATCTTGGTATCCAACACTCCCACAGTACAAGCCAGTGGTGTACCAAGCCTAAATACAAATCACCCTAGATGAAAAAGGAAAATTCATTTGATTGTTTCACAAATCCAAACCTGTCTTTGTTTTTGCCTCTCATTTTTTAATGAAGACCAGTAATGTTTGTAAAAATACAACACAGATCACAACAAATATCAGTATCATTGCCAATCCTATGAAGAATGGAAAATAAATTTGTCAGAGAACAAGCCAAGGGCAGAAAAACAAAGAAGAGAAGCAGAGGAAAAGGGAGAGAGAGAGGGAGAGGGAGGGGGAAAGAGAGAAGGAGGGACAGGTAAAAGGAAAAAGGAAAGTAAAAGCTATCTCTGTTTTTTTAAATACAGAGATTAGTAACATGGTTGTACTTCTGTGGGTGTACCCAACAAATCTGAAAGTCCTTCCAACACAGAAGTAGGGGAAAAAGGTCTCTGTGGAGGAAATGCTCAGCCGTTAGCCACAGAACTAATCTGTGATGATGTTAGCCTGATTTAGAGCTGGCAGATGGCTGGCTCTGACACAGACAATCCAGGCTGCAGTGTGTTTGTCAGGTGTCTGGGTGCAACCTGGCCTACTAAACACCCAGACGGGTCCAGCAGATATGCAGGCAAGATGCTCTGCTCTGCTGTCAGGCCCTGTGCACAGTGCCAGCTCCTCAGGCACTTCCAGCCTTAAATGGTAAGGGATTACATCCAAGCTCTGTGAGGAAATGCTCCTGCCAACGGTGCTGCTGTGGGAAGCACTTACAGGGCTGGAGGGGAATGAAGCTAGCACTGTTCAGGTCTAAACAGAGTCTGGCTTAGCTACCATTTCCAAGATCACCCTCTCCCAAAGGAGACAGGAAATCAGAGGATCTACATGACCAATATGAAGTAACTAGGGCTGGCCAAAGGCTAATTAAGTCTTCGTGAGTTTATGTCTGGGTCATTTGAATATCCTCAGTATCACAAACTGGATTTGACAGACAAAACCTAATAACCTTTCATTCATTTGAATTGCCGCCCTGAGAGATAATTCTTGTCATATTGTTGTAGCAAAAATGCTACACTGCATGAAGAGAACCAATGGTTTTCTTACAGATAGCCCAAAGTTGCTGCCTGCTTAGTAAATCTGAGTCACAAAGCTGGCCACACCACCCTTGAAATGGTGAGATCAGGAAGAGCTAATGGGTCAGTCCCTCAGAGAAGAGGAGTAACTCAGGTTCAAGTCTACCAAATCTCTTGGACAACAGCTGATTCCTGACTCAATTTCCTTTGGCCTCAATTTAGTTTAATATGCGGTATCTCTGAAATAACTGTTTTCAATCTTAGCAACAAATACGCTTCATGCAGGTCTAATATCTGCCTTCATTCAAAGCAGCCCTGAACCTTTTAAAAACCTTGGCTTTACTATTTCATGGGTTGGTGCAGAAGGTAAAGAAATGGAACATGTGGAACCAGTATAGCTGGGTAAGAAGCATAGAATTAGACATCTCTTTGCAGGAGTTTCTTTAGAGTTAAAACGGTTTAATAAAAGAAAGGTGGGTGGGTGAAAACTACAGGAAGGCGGCAAACTTGGCAGCCTTCACTTGTGGTTTCCATTTTAACTATTCAAAATGTTAGGCCTGGTGTCTTCATCAAGTTTTCCGTTGAAAATTAACTTTAGCTGCTGCAGTCATACTTTTGCTATTGTTTTTTATTAGTCACCCTACCTAATATGTCTTAAAACTCCATTACAGTAAATAGTCTTCAATTATTCTTATCCATTTTTAATGGGTACTTTCCTTTGTCCTTCCAGATATTCAGCTTAGTCCTATATATGACAATTTGATATGAAAAGACTAGAGCTAATGTGTGCTGGGTTAGAGAGAAAAAGTCTGGGAGTATCCAGACCAGGCTGCAGGAAATCGCACCCTCAGGCTGGGCTATTCTCAGTCCATTTTGTTTGTTGTTCACCAAAGTCACAGAAAAAGTACAGGCAAACATAAATACACAGATACATTTTTTAGGTACACTTTTTTCCAATGTATATAAACACATACATTCTAGAAAGTTAATGCCCCATATATCACTTGTAGCATCCCTCTATACTAAAAAAGGCATTGCACTGAATAGAGAACGCTGTATTTAACATTGTATTGTCAACTGCAAAACTGTGTAAAACACCACCAGCATACACTAAGGCTGCAAATGATACATATGTCACCAGAGAACCAGGACCTATGTACATAACGTTCCTTTGCATATCATTATTAAAAATACATGGATTTCACAGTGAATCCCACAGCTACTAAGAAGACATCCAACCCAAAGCTTCACATTTTACAGTCTGTAGAAACAAAGCCTACAAGTATTTTGAACTGACCTCACAGTAACTATCTGGCCTCCATCCAACTCAATTCCATTCATCTGTGCTATGAAGATGGCAGCCACAGCTTCATAAAGGGCAGTTCCATCCATGTTAATAGTTGCTCCAACGGGGAGAACAAACCTTGTTACACGCTTATCAATACCTAGATTTTCTTCAAGGCACCGGAATGTGACAGGTAATGTTCCAGCACTAAATGAGAGAAAGCAAAAAAGTAGAAAAGACATAATTACAATGTAATATATACACATAAGAGAGCAAAGTCAGAAATTCTGCTATCACTGTTTACATTTTCTACTTCCACGTTCTGCTGTGATTCAAGCCTTTTTTAGCCAATTTTTAAATTAAGCCTGCATTTAGCTGAAGGTGGACTGAGGCCAAGACATGAACATGGCTCGAAGTCGGGATGAGAGCTTGAGAGAGTACAGATGAATTTTTCAGACTCATTTATTAATTGTTTCTTGCATTTTGTTCAAACAGACAAGTTCCAGATGTTTTCTGATGGACAGAACTATGAGTGTAGGGAAAAATCCCAAACTTCTTTGTGAATTTGCTGTGAATGGAGAAATCAGTGTTGTATTAAGGAGGGAAAAGTCAGGCAAAAAAATACAACCCATAGAGTTCCCAGACACTGGAGGACAGGAAAGGTTATGAAACACAGCTGGAGGATAGGAAAAGATGCAAAAGATAGCTGGAAGAGGGGAACAGCTCCTTACACAGATCCCCAGTGCCTTGCCTTTGGGGGAATAGTTCATACTATTACATTCGCTTGCTCACAATAAAACACCTTCATGAAAAAAATACTGCTGAAAACAGAACACTTTTTTCCCTGTAGATGCAAATATCTTCTACTTCTTCACTTGCCTAGCAGGTCTGCCTGCCTCAGGCAAAGGACTTGGTGCATGAAACTCAACACAGGAGCATGTTTTGGTTCCTTACTTTTCTGTGTTATTTCTGAGGTCAAGTCCACCACTAAATCAAGTTGGTTGTTGCCTGAGAAGCTGTTCTGAAAAGAAAGCTGACCTGGGGAAATTCCTTTTAATTTGTGTTTCATACAGAAGCAGCTGGAGCACATCTGTTGTGGTTTATTTGCTTTTCTTCAGCTGAGCTGCCAGAATTCCTCAAAGAATTTCCTACTAATTCTGGTGTCATTGCCCCTACAAAAATACGAATTTGCTCATAGAACAGTAAAGGACTGGACTCATCAAACTTTCTCAGATAAATACAGCATATTGTTGCTAGTGCCTTGCAACTTCAGAGTCTTTCTAACTCATTCATTCGTCCACTGCCACAGAGATGTTATTGGTTACAAAAAATTTAATCTTCCCATTTTGCAGGTGATTAAACCATGGAAAAGGGAGATTAAGGAATGCATGAGATACCTAACTATAAAAATGTAGTGTCATAATAAAAGTCCTATGTTATCTGGAACAAGCACATGAGGCTGACCTATTTGCATGGGATCTATGGAAAACCTAAATCCTTCTGGACTGGCATATGCCTCAGTCACTTCCTAAATAACTCCTCTTGTCCCACATCTATCGAAAAATGAGTTAGAACATATGAGCTTCTAGATTCTCACCTTTTGCTCAAATGACTAGACCACTGTTTGTTCACAGAGCTTTTTTTTTTTTTTTAACAGACATCAATAAGACAGAATGGCAGTACCAGTAATTTGTGTTCTAGCATCTTTGCAAATATATTTGTAATTATTATTTTACTGTGGTTTTAACCAAAGGTAATCAAATGCTTAATATTCTGTGGGTTTAGCCAAATCAGCCAATCATACTTTCTAAAAACAATGTAGTATACTCTCTCGTAAGTTACTCTAGCAGCTGCATTTATAGTGGATAGTAGAAAATATCTAGTGTGTGATTAACCAAGAACTACTAGTCAGTTTTCAAGACAGTTCCAGATCACTTTACCTCCTAGAGCAAAGATATTCCTGTATCTTATTAAAAGAAAAATAGAATAGAAAAGGTAGTTCAATGACACACATTGAAACTCAGTCAGATAAGGTTCTTTTTTTTCAGAAATACAAGTACCACCTTACCTTTACTGTTAGAAATCAGATCATCAGCACAAGATGTGTACCAGCCATGGCCTACCATTGCCACAATGAACCCCAGCAGGCTCAGTAGGCAGGGACTATGCAAATATCTTCCCCCTTCAGTTCTGCCACCATGAGCAAGGACAGGTGAGCAGGTCATGGAGACAAGTTTTATTAGAAGAGCACAATACATGGATGTCTTCCATGGTTCCATGGTTCCTCAGGTTGGCCAAAGAGCTTTAATAGGTCCCTGTATAGGAGGCGTTTGCAACTTCCAGAGGTACCAGGCTAGACCATATGATGGTGATTGTTTTCATGTGGTCACTTGTCTGGGTGCTAAGAACTGGTACACCTCTGTTTAGCCAGTAATTCAGATCTGGACAGCAGTCAGGTGGTAAAGCTAGTATCCAGGTAAATCCATATGCTGGAATCACTTAGAATCCCCCACATTTTTCCACCTCAGTACTCCAGTAGAAAAACATTATTTCACACTAAAAAAAACCCCCACAAATGTTGTGTATGGACACTGTAAATTTTGTATTGAAAATCTAAGTGGAAACTCAAACACTTAAAAGAACAAAAGCCTTAGGGAAGTTGTGGTTTAGTGAAAATCCTGGACAGATTAAATCTGCTATAATCCCACATTGTTTATCACAGAGCCACGTAATTGTTGAGGTTGGAAGGCACTCTGGAGGTCACCTATTCCAACCACCTTGCTCAAGACAGGGGAAGCTAGGGCAGGTTGCCCAGGACCATGCCCAGACACATTTTGTCTATCTCCAGGGATGGAGATTCCACAACTTCTCTGGGCAACCTGTGCCAGCATTCAACCACCATCACAGTAAATCACAGTAAAAAGATTTTTCGTGTGTTCACATGGAATTTCTTTTGTTTCAATTTGTGCCCACTGACTCTCCTCCTGTCACTGGGCACTACTGACAAGAGTCTTGCTTTATCTTCTCCACACTGTCTCACCAGATATTTATGCACATCAGTAACATCTCCCCAGAGCCTCTTGTTCACTGGGGAGAAGTTTGTCAGCAGGGTGGTTTGGGCTGACACAATCTGATGGTCAGTTTTGAATTAGGCTTTTTTGTTTTCACCTTTTTAATTAAAATGGAAGAATAAGTTTGCTTCAGAAATAAAACATCTATTGAAGATAAACATTCTAAAATATGCTATTTAACTGAAAAATATTTTCAACACAAGATCTACTGTCTGCCCCAATGCAAAACATCAATTTATTACTGAGAATTGAGTTGCCTACACACTTTGTTCAGTCTGTTCTGTGCATTAGCAACAAGGCTAAAATGCTCACCTCTTCAATGAAGTCCCCTTACTCTGCTAAAATGGATGAAAGAATAAAAGGAGAGGTTTTTTAAATATCTTCTTGAAACCTAGCACTGTTTATTTTTTTCCCAATGCAACGAGACTGGTCTAAACATGCTTTCAAAATAAATATAATTATTACTGTTTCCTAGTTGAGGGAAACAAGTACAGAGGTAACACAATTTGCACAAGTCATTTGGTCAATGACAGAAAACAGAAAGTGGGTCTCCCAACTTTCTGCAGTTGGCTGTACAACCTAAGAAATCCCAAAGATGCGTGGTTATTTTTATTTATTTCAACATGGCTGGATTAAAAATACTTTTTATTCAATGGCGTAAAATGATTTTGCAATGAAGGTCAGAACAGCAGATGTATTAGCTTTAAACAGCAGCTAATGATCTGCTAAAAAATAAAGCAAGCTGTTATTTCTCAAGTGTACCTGGAAGCTGTGCCTAGTGCTGTGATCCATGCCTGGAAAATCCCAGCAAGGAATGAAAATGGGCTTTTCCTTGTTATCACAAAGTAGAGCAGAGGCAGGAAGATCCCTCCATGGATGAGAAGACCCACAATTACAGTGACCATGTACATGCCAAGTTGTCTAGCAACTACTTCTAAGTCCTTGATTGCAATGATTTTTCCACAGATGAGGCAAGCAATGCCCAAAGGGGAATACCTGGGGAAAGAAAATAAGCACAGACAGAACTAGTCTTTGCAGCATAGTCATAAAAATTGTGCTCAACAGAGTATAGACTGGAGAAAGAGTAGAGGGCACTCAGGCTCAATGCTGAGATGCAGATGGAAATTCATGGAAATTCAATGGATACCTTTCACATCTTTTTAAAAAATAATGGCCATCTCCAGTTAATTCCCCATCTACTTCGATTTTTCCCATCCCATAGAATGCAATATATATTTCCTGAATAGTCTTTGATCCTGGAATAACATTGTACAAGAATACTATAATGTTACATGGGTTTGGATCATTTTTATGAAGAGTAGGGTGGTAGTTGTTCTTAATACATAACTTTTACAACCCATTGCTTATCTTGTTTCAGAGAGTTGCATTATTTGATTCAGTTAAACTATTCATTGAAATTAATTGCTTTTATCTCGAAGGCTGCAAATGTTTCCATTATGTTATTTCAATAATTTGGACAAATGCTTTTTAGTTTACGGATTCTTCATTAATTATGTGCTTTTCTTAGTTAGGGTCAGGTTTTTGTTACCTCAGTCCTGTGATTCCCTGATGGCAGAAATGGAACACTTAGATAGGATGGTAATGGTAGCACAGTTTAGTAATAAAAAAAATTGAAATTAATGGATATTTTTTAAAAATGTAATAATCAGCTATAGTGAAAAATGCTTGAAAGTGCCTGGATAGAAGACAATATTTATACCTGCACTGGTAAGGGTTAGCATATTATATAATTTTAAGTGACATTCACTTTCTCTGCCTGTTTTATAAAACTTAAGCTGGGAGAAAGTAATGTGTGTAACGTGGAGAAACAGTAAACAAAATGCCTCTCTGAAAATAAATGGTAATGCATGGTTTCAAAATTGATAAGTGATTTGAACGCTTAATTAAAGACAATACAAAGGAAACTGACTTTCAGAATAAAACTGCTTCGTGTTTTCTGTAAGAAACATTTCATGGTCTCTCAAGCAATGAGCCCAAAACCTGGAAAGCCCTCAGTCACTTGAAATGCAAGGCCAGCTGTTATACCAGTTATCATAAAAAGCCATGTTTCAATGAACTTGAGGAAGCATATTTCTTATAAAGAATTACATGGTGTCAGGGACAGGTGTCTGAATTGTTTATGTTTGCGTAGCAATGCCATGCTGCTGAGTCTAGAGTTGCCATGCGAGTTACAGCGCTCTGTGCAGAGAAACCAAAGAAAATGTAACTCTGCATAAAGAAGTGCATTTGTCTTTATAAACACACGTAAAAAAACCTGCTTCTGACCACAATAATTCTTTAAAAATTCTAGACAGAGATGAACAAGTGGAATTCCCAACATCAATCTCCTTTCTCACGAAAATATAAAGCATATCAGTAAACAATAAACATTTACAGTGAATTTCTTGAAACTTGAATGATTTCCTGCCATTGCAACACTGACTACTAGAGACAATTTATACTGTAGGCAAGGTATTATGTCTTGGGTGTACCAACTGGTGCTAAGTGAAGTAAGAGTAAATTCTAGCTCTTGGAATTATGAGAGTACAGTCACTGTCTCTACAGAGTCAAGAGCAGCAGGTTACAATAATTATTGAAAGCACTAGGGCTTTGTGAATAAAAACAACTGTGTTTTTATGCAGAAAGATCATCTACAGAAAAGCAGAAGCATAACAGGAATGCAAGGTCATTGCTTCAAGTTCTTTCTTTTGTTCTACACATTTCCACATCGCTGTTGCTATCTGCATCACTCTTGCATAACAGTCTCCCTTTCAAACACTGGTGATGCTGAAGACTTGCACTTCAGGCACCCTGCTCCCTTTTCTATAAACTGTGTCCATCTAGAGCCTCAGAGAAGAGGCATACTGCAGCCTTGTAACTCAGGACATCATCTCCAGGGACACCAGGGAATCACGGGAAGCAATGAGCCATGATACATGTGTTGTATTGAAGTGACTATTTCTGGTCTCAAAGACCTAGGAGATACAAAACACAGCAGTACAATGCCAAATGTAGCAATGCATTTTTATGTTCTGAAAAACTGGGGTGTTTGTGATATGGCCACACTTGGCACTGTGTACAAATAGCTCTGGAGACGTCCTCAGAAGAAACATCTCAAAAAAAAAAAAAAGAGAGAATCCCCTTCCAGAAATGTAAACAATAGCTCAGTCTTATTTGGGTAAAATCACTCCCTTGAAGGCAAGCCAGGCCCCATTATTACGAATGGGTATACTTCAAAAACAGGACAGATACATTCCAGTGACCCCATTGCAGCGAGGTTGAAAGACACAGATTCTGCAGAAACTATGGGTGGAGAGACTACACATCACTGAAAACCACTGGAATTTTATTTGGTGGTAGAGTATTTTTACTACAGAAGACAGTGAATAAAGTGTGTCTCCAGGCTTCTTTGTAATTATACCTCCTAGCTATAGGGGATTACGCTAACCTCCCAGGAAGATTTGGATGTTCTTATGTGGGGCATTCTGGCTTGCTTAGGTGTCCTTCTATGCAATGAACATCCATAATCAATGTGGCATTTGAAGGGCTCTTTGCAGGTACCTGCATGTCTTGGATTTCAGTAAACAAAGAACAGAATACCTTCAGAAATATTTCAAATTGGGTCCTAAATAATCCTCACAAACAGAAATAATGCTGCTGTAGTTCTAACACACCTGTCAAGGCTTCAAAAAATGAACTATTTAATTACATTGTTTAAAAAAACTGTGGTCACTCTATGCTATATTAGGGTTTTATGAGGTTTTTTTAAATCTTTTTTTTTTTTTGTTCTAGAAGTTAAAACTTCAAACTTACCACATGATCATAGTTACTAACTTCATTACAATCTCATTCAGGATGTTGAAGAAATCCACCATGATCTTGGCCTGTTCTCCCATTTTCCCCATAGCAATGCCAAAAGCAATAAAGAATCCTATCAAACCTATTGGGAAAAAATTGCAAGACAAAAAAAAAAAGCAAGTAAAACCATGGTTTTTAGGAAGTTTTTGCACCTAGTCAATGTCTTGATACTACCTGCTAGTCCAGTTTTCAGAATTATAGTGTATTACACATCTCTCGGGACTTTTTAATACAGACTCACTCTCAACTTTCATGATCATATTCAGAACATCTTTTATTCTTCAATATTTTACCAAATTCCAATTTCGCAGCCCAACTATGTTTTTTTTTCCTTTTTTCCTGAATTGATCCGATCATCAAAAAAATACTTATACCATAATCTTCTCAGTGTCATGCAACTGTTAGAAATCTCATAGCCCCTGGCAATTGGGAGAGGCAACACAGTGCCATATCATGACTCTTTTTTTGCTGCTAAAACAGTCACTAAAGACCAAGAGCATTTTTGTCAAGCTTTACAAAAGTCCCTTAACAGATTCAACCTACAGACTAGTCAGTCCTGGAGTACAAGGAAAGGTAAAAGCAGCCCAGAACATAACTTTCACAGGCAAGAGTATTCCAGTTAAATGAAGAATGTGGGGGTGGGAGGAGAAAGTGGGTATTGCATTTTAAGCTAAACCACAGAACTCCCATTAAAAAGATTAACCTCACTGAAACTGTCTATCAGCAGATACATAATCATAGAATTCAATACAAGTAACATTTGACTCCTAAATTTAAATGCTAAGGTGTGAAAGTCTGGAGTATTGGACTATCGGTATGAAAAACTTAGTGCATCTGTCATGTATTACTTTGGAGCTGTGTCTCCAATGCTAACCTTTACCATCCAGCAATTTTCAGTGTCCAGGGTGGGATTGTTATCTGATATCGATAGATAGTTTGAATCTTCAGCCATCTTTTGAGGCTAAACTTTCAGTCATGATATAAATATCTAACAACACATGTGTGAACTCAGCTGGGAAATTCCTAAGGAAAAACCCATCAAGACACAAAAGCATTCAAGAGAAGGGAATTTCAGCTACCAGTACTCTGGGAAAAGACAGGCTGTTCCATATCCTCACACTGGATCTAGGAACCAGACTTTTTGCCTTTTTTTTTTTAATCCAATCTCCTGGATATAAAGTCAATCTTTAGCACCAAGCCATCTTTATTGAGTCACTTGAATAGGGAAGTGAAGTGTATGTTTGTGTGCTGCAGAGCATAGAGAAATTACGAAAAGCTTTTCAGTCAAAGACCAAGTAACTTCCTGGAATTCAGACTCAGTATTAGAAAATGTTAGTAGGTGGTTTTATTCATTAATTCCAAACGAGCTGCTACATTAGTCATAAGGGTCAAGTTGGTTCATATTTGCAGGAATTTGCTTGGCTTGTACAGTTTATGCAAGCTGGATGGCAATTCCCCAACATTTTCACTTCTTCATTCAAAACCAAACCACACCAAACCAAACCACACGTTAACCAAAAAACTGCAATGTTTGAGAGCCATTTGTCAAAATACTACAGCAAATCCCCCACCTAAACTGTGTATTTCCTTTCTGTAGGAATTGTATTCAGCCTTCTAGGTCTTTTCCTATCCATGGCAGAGCCTGCAGAAAACAAGTCCAGCACTAAATGTAATGCATCTCTCACATTAGAAATACCGTTTTATTTTAATGCATAAACAGGAGAGAAAAAAGCATGAGCAATGAGCTGCTGCTTCATGCAGGGTGCAAAATGCCAATTTGCAGCTTTGAAAGAAAGCGGCTCCTCTGCCCACAGATGTTGAATAGAACGAGGAGCCATGGAGGCAGGCAGAATACAGTGGCTCACAGCTCTTGTAGAGCAGGCTGCTTCACAAAGAAACAAATCATCTCTCATGAGGTTACTGATGCTATCTCCCCTACTTCTAAGCAACGCAGCCACTACCAACGAACTCACCAACATCTGGAGAAGCTCTGCAGGCACAGCAGCCACTGTGTCAGCAGGAGCAGCTCATCAGCTGTAAGGAGTCTGCCCCTAAAAGTGATGGCCCAGTGGTGACATAAAGCAGGGGTTTAAATACTGCCACATACTGTCCCACTTTGAGGACAACACCTATAAACAAAAGTGTCAGCCTCAGCCCTGTGGACATGCTGCCACAGAGATTGTGTATCTTCAAGTGCAGGTGTGCCAATGAGGCTACAAATTGAGGGCTAATTTGTGACTGACTTTGCCCACATCCAGAAAATAAGAAGGTGAAGGAGGAGCACTCCTCTCCGGGCTGAGAAAACGGTGAGTCTAAGCACAGAGGAGAAAACAGAAGTAGTGTGGTGGATCTTTGTTCCCCTGCACCCCTGCCCCAGTCTAAACAGGTGCTTCAGGAAGGGGTGGGAGATAGGCAAAGTCTTCGTACCACCCCTACTTGCTGGCTTGTCCAGACAAGATGGCACAACGGCTGCTGTTCATAATCTACAGCTGGTAAAGGTCAGCAGCCAAGATGAAAGAAGGAGGGATTTGTGACTCAGAGATATGTCAAGTCGCTCTGGAATTTTTCTTGGGTGGTGTAGTTCACACCCCACCTCTCACTTCAGGCTCTGCCTCAAGCCATATTCTAGTTCAGCGTGCCCAAGACACCTACTGGAAACAACTGAGCTCAAATTCATCAGGGGATCGGTAAAGCACTGGCACTTGAAGCTCTCTCCCATATTGTTTTGCCAATAGGCGTTAGTCTAGGTAGGCTACTAGGAAGAAAGGATATTTTGGGTACCTCCTACATGCTTTCCCATTGTACTCTTAATTAATACTTGCACAGCTGCCAATCCAGAATAATTCACTTGATATTGTTTCTGTAATACAGTCATATTTCTAGAAAGACCATTAGATTTTCATCTCAGAGACCAATGGGCAGCCAGTAGGTGATAACACTAGATGATTATGTGGGAAGACTAAACTTGCACTGAAGAGCAGATCAGACAACACTGGCTACCCAGTCACAGCCAAAAGCTGTGTCATACATATGATGTACATATTTAACAGGCAAAAAGTTTTCCTACCCAGGACATTCATGCCATCCTTAAATTCAAGTCCCTTCTTAATGACCAGCTGGGCTTCTGGTGGTGCTTCGCGCAATGTCTCATTCATCATAGCAAAGGCAGAGTCAGTGACATTAGTTGTTTCTTCAATGGGTGGTGGCACCAGCACTTTCTTAGTGACAGTTTGGATCTGAAGATAAATAAAAAGAGAGGATGAGAATGGAAACAGACTGACTATAATCCATATGGGAGATCAGGAAATAATAACAAAAAGAGTCTTCACTTGAAATTCCAGGGAAATATATTTTTAAAGGATTAGACATGCATTCCACAACCTCTTACCCCCTTTTTCAAAAATAATTTAATTCCAAGTGTCATAAAGTCCTGGGAGTCCTCCTCATGACTCTAGTGTGAAAAGTAAGGCAAATACTTGTTCCTTACCACTATGATGTAACATTTTACAGATAGTTAGCCCCTTTGTCCAGATGGTTCACAAATGGTGCTTCACAGATTGTATGTTACATGTTGATACCATCAATTTAGCACCAAAAGACAGGCACCTCTAAGATCAGTCACAGCAGCAACTCTGCAGTAAGGCTTGTTATTCAGGATGGTCTGCCCAGCTCAAGTTATCAGTTACTTTGATGGTTAACTTGAATCAAAAACTTGGGACATTTCCAACACTTGGTGACTGTGAGAGGTCAAAATGGAACACACACAGTCTCTCTAATTAAAATATCTGAGTGATAGATAACAGAAAAATTGTCAAAGCTGCCAGATACCTATTAAATCCAATCTGATCACCTCAAAAAAGAAGACATCAGCATCTGAATGGATCTGGACCCCTCCTGGCACATGAAAGGCAGGGTCAAGGGAAAGCTGGGAAGGAATGGTATGGGGAAAAATGGGCTGGAGTTTACAGCTAGGAAAAAAAGGGACAAGGGAGTAGAAAAAGAGAGATCTGTGACTTGATGCTTTTAGAAGGAACATTTTCCTCCCACTTCACACCTTGAGCCTTTCCTGCCTCTTCATGGCTCTGGGACAGGCAAAATGGCTAGGAAGCTATGACCATGTTTGTCATGGTTTCCCATCTGCTCCCTACTTTCCTTGTTCCTAGCTAGAAACGTGTTTGAGTAAGGCATCAGAAACAGTGTATTAGACTTTAAAAGAACATTTGCACCTTGTTCCTGTTGAGATGGACATTGCAGTACTATGGATGATGATCCAGGTTCAATCCACATCTTTCAAAACCACAAGGTTTTAAAATGTACGTTTTATAAAGTTTTAAAATACCTTACATGTCTCCTTTCAAAACCTGCTGTCTTAAATCTAGAGAGGTAGATGTAGATAGAAAACTTACATAGCTTTGAATGAAAAACTCTTCAGTTGTCCTGAAACAACTCAATGCTCTGCATGTTTATATTTTTTTCAGAGTTAAATTTTATCTGAGGGATTAAGTCAACACAATATTTTTAATGTGAGGTATCCAGAATGTAAGAACAGAGTCACAGAAATTAAATTTAAAACATTAGAGTCCACACAATCACAAATTCCACTGCAGTCACTTAAGTCACAGTTCCTCAGCCCTTCTTTGCATAAGGCCACAGTCACTAAAAATGCTGAGCATATCATTAAGATTAGATACTGACAACAACATCTAAGGCCAGAAAACCATTTAAATGTCACAGTCATATTTAGAGATGATAGTCCCATTCTCTTTCATGGCACATAAGATCTTAAGTCTCTGCTGGAATAGCAGTCTTCATTATAAATTAAGACTTTCTTGTAGACCATACAAAAATTCAAGAGATATTGAAATCCCACAATGGTTCAGAGTTCAGTTTGCAAATGAACTGTTTCAAAATTGCAAGTGAATTCCTTCATTGCTTTCTGCCTGGTCACAAGGGAAGGCGTGTAAAAGTCCCCCACAGACCACAACTACACAGTACAAAAACTTGCTTTCTCCTAAGGCAATCTGGAAACACTGAATGCTCATGTATAAATGTAGGAAGAGAAAATATATGCTGACACCATTAAACACAGTTAATTTTCCTCCAAAACACAGAGACAAGTAAAGCCTAACTCCTTACTGAGGAGTTAAGGGCTAATAGAAGGCACAAGCTCCATCTGTAAAGGAGAATGACTTACTTTGTAAATGAAAGGTGACTTTGTGGCAGAGGATTTCACTGGCGATTAGTTTGGAATATGATGAAATTAAACACTGGAAAGCCAAAAAGCTTAGTAGCTTTTTTAACTAAGTTTAAAAAACAATCAATGGAATTAGTGATCCATAACTAATGAAGTGACCTGAACATTGATATTACACACACTGAAAAAAGCAATAAGGTTCCAAGACAACTATCTGACATGGGTAGCTTAATTCTGTTCTCCTGCTTTTTGTCCCTGTGCCAAGAAATTTGACCACTTTCAATTCACCAGAAATTTAATTCTCCTCTCTTCCACAGTTCAGATGAGGGAAAGGAAAAAAAAACCATAAGCACTGTGCTCTCCCCTCACTCAGTTTTGAAAAAATATTTTTCACATTACATGTGATGTTTAGCCACCCGCAGTTTGACCATGACTGACATTCCCACGATGATTTGGAAATATTGACAATGTTCTCTCTTTAAACCCCCAAGGACCATGTATTTTTATGTGGAAGCCCATGGAAGAAGTGAAGCAATCCAAGCCCTTTTGGCAGCTTACATTGCCCTCCATTCTTCCAGCCTCCATGGCCTCTTCCCCCTTTCTCCCTTCCCGCTCTTCTCTTCACTTTATTCTTTGGCCATAACCACAGCTCCAGCTATCATGCCATTTCACTTAGGAACAGCTAAGAACAGGTTTGGCAACAAACCCTGTTCCATTAAAAAAAAAAAAAAAAAAAAAAGTCTGCATTATTGTCAAACAATTTAGTTGTAGGAAAAAGCAGCTTACATGCAAGAAATATGCTTAAGCAGAAATTAGGAAGAATGCATTTTTCATTTATTTTACCCCTCAAAATGAAGCTGTTTTGATTAAGCATCGGTGAAAAGCTTTTAGACAAAATTTTCTCCCTACAGAGGGAGTAACACATGGTGCAAGCATCCTTCTTTCCCAGCATTCTTCAAACCTGGCCTGATGGAGCCACCTGTAGGTGCGTCAACCACTTGACTGTATTATCCCCACCTAGTCTGGACAATACAGCAATAGAAGTTATGATAGCTTGGGTTTGGGGGTACATTTCCACTGGCAACCACCCGGAATTAAGATCATTCTTATATTACAAATAGAGCATTGCAGAACCATCAGCTCTGTAACTAATGACCAAGATCAAATTCAACCTGGGTGAAAGATCCTGTAATTCATCAGCTGTTCATCCCCAAGCCACCATTCATGACTATATATATTGTATAAAAAGTGAGGAAAAAAATTAAGTTTACTAAATAACAAACTAAAAATCATCATCTTTTAAAAATTCTGTGAATTTAAATAATAACTACAACATAAAACAAAGCAGCTATAAATAATGTTCTTTCATTTACCTGCGCAAGACTTAAGACTTGTATTTCTCTTTGCGTCATCATTTCTGTCACTCACCTAAACAATGACATTAAGTCTACAGACATCCCTGGTAAGTAAAAGATGTAAAAAATATTACCAAGGAATAGAAGGATTTACCTGCTGAAAGCAAGCTTGGACTAGATTTTCAGGGAACAGGTTTCGGATCAGATCCAAGAAAGCATCCAAACTAGATACTTCATCATTCTTCTTCCCTTGACCAAGCTGTTTCTTGAGTTTCGGATTCCCTGGATGGATGGCTAAAACCAAAATCACACCCAGCACAGCAGCAATAATAGTGGTGGACATGTAGTAGACCATGGCTCTTGTACCCAATCGGCCACTTGCTTTAGCATCTAAACCAGACAGTCCTGCAGGTGTTTTATTTTAAGAAACAAACAAATATATTGAGACTCAATATCCAATTCAATAATCATAAAATAAAATCCTTTATAATTTGCAAAGTTTAATGACTGCCTATAGTTGCCTACTTTTGTTCTTGTGAAATTCTCACCACTTGGTACATTACTGAGGCTTCTCCCTCCCGTTCTTATGCGAACAATGTCTGCTGCTACTAATTTGAAAAGAACCATTTAAGATTCCATGTAACCGCAGAGGAGGCATTGAAAAATAGAGAAGATATCATAATATCTTTTGCCATTGATTGCTGCAAACTGGTCAAGGTCTGGCTGACACCACAGCTTTAAGAAGGCTAGGCTTGCTAGTGTCATGCCATCTTATCTGCAAGGTCCAGTTGAGGAAGTAGGTCAAGCAGCATATTAAGAAATTTCTGTTCAAGAAGGTAGTATGTGTGCGTGTGTTTGAAAATAAATTCACTGGAGCATCTAGGTATTAAAGCCAATGAACTTAATTAGAAATTAATTCTGAAATACACATTGCAACTGCAAAATCCCTACCAGGATCACACTATTATTCTTCCTACATCACGAAAGCAAACCAGCTAATATCTGTAGCAAGTATCTTAAAGTATTTATGGCTAATAGATCTTACCTGTGATTAAACTGGAGATAATTAAAGGGAGGATCAGCATTTTTAGCATCCTCATAAGTATATCTCCTGGGAAGGCTATTAACATGATGATGTCAGGGTCAATAGGTGTTGCTAGACGAAGAAGACCCCCACACAGTGCACCCAGGATGACACCTGGAAGAAGAATAAAAGAGACCAGGCAGGTAACATAAATATACCTGAATGCACATTGATTTCCCAGAAGAACAGACCAGAGGAAAACCAGTTACACAAGGCAGCTGATTTTTGGTACAGAGATAGATTTTGGAAGGCTTCTGATTAATACAAGGCTGTAACACACTTACCATGTAATTCATGATTAAAGAGAAGGGGTCCTGATGTAGAATCTTCTGTCAGCTGAGATTATTCCTAATGTACTATTCTCCTTCTGCAAATAAAAATTTGCTGCAAACCACAACATTATTGAGGTTTACTAATACTGTGTAGGCCTTGCAATACATTGCACGATAGTCAATTTTAATTCATATCATGGTTCTACAGCTAGCAAAATTGAGGCACCAAGAGGTGAAGTGATTTATATAAGGCCATACAGAACTGACAGAAGAGCCAGGGTTAGGACCCAGCTCTTTGGAGTACGACATCTAGCTTGCAACATAAGAATGGTACCACTTGAAGACAAGATTAGCATGAGCAGCTATTTTACAGTCTAAGAAAAACCCTGCAGGAAAGCTAGAATAGTCCTGTGAGAAAAACAGATTAAAGTTTTATTTGGGGTGTTTTGGAAGGGAGTGCCTGATCTGGAATACCGCACATATCATTGAACAAAACTTGATTCCTAGTACTCATTTGTTACTCCTTCCCTTTGATGGTCTGCATTATTTAGATTTTACAGAATTACAGAATGGTATGGGTTGGAAGGGATCTCTGGAGATCATCTAGTCCAACCCCCCTGCTAAAGTAGATTCACCTACAGCAGGTTGCACAGGCTTGCGTTCAGGAGCCTTTTGAATATCTCCAGAGAAGGAGACTCTCTGGGTAGCCTGTTCCAGTGCTCAGTCACCCTCACACTTAAGAATTTTTTCCGTATATTGAGATGGAACTTCCTGTGTTCCAGTTTGTGCCTGTTGCCCCTTGTCCTGTCACTGGGCACCACTGAAAAGAGTCTGGCCGCCTCCTCTAGGCATCCACCCTTTAGATATTTATAAGCATTGATAAGATCCTCTCTCAGTTTTCTCTTCTCCAGGCTAAACAGACCCAGCTCTCTCAGCCTTTCCTCATACGAGACATGCTCCAGTCCCCTGATCATCTTTGTAGCCCTCCGATGGACACTCTCCTGTAGTTCCTCGTCTTGAACTGGGGAGCCCAGAACTGGACACAATATTCCAGATGTGGCCTCACCAGAGCAGAGGGGGAGGATAACCTTCCTCGACCTGCTGGCCACGCTCTTCTTAATGCACCCCAGGATGGATACCATTGGCCTTCTTGGCCACAAGGGCACATTGGTGGCTCATGGAGATCTTGTTGTCCACCAGGACTCCCAGGTCCTTTTGCACAGTGCTGCTTCCCAGCAGGTCAACCCCCAACCTGTACTGGTACCTGGGGTTATTCCCTCCTAGGTGCAGGACCCTACACTTGCCCTTACTGAATTTTATATGGTTCCTCTTTGCCCAATTCTCTGGTCTGCCCAGGTCTCACTGAATGGCAGCACAGCCTTCTGGTGTGTCGGCCACTCCTCCCAGTTTTGTATCATCAGCGAATTTGCTGAGAGTACGCTCTGTCCCCTCGTCCAGGTCATTGATGAATACATTGAATCAGACTGGACCAAGCACTGACCCTTGGGGCACACCACTAGCTACAGATAGATTTGTACAGTGATAATACCCAAACCCCCTCTCCCAGAATTGAGGCTATTGAAGCATAGTCTAGGGAAAAAAACGCCATGTTTTACTTTCATAATATGATCTTTATGAATGGATATTTTATGTTTACATCAAGGATGCCTTTGTTTTCCTGATCCCAAGCCCAAGTCTCAAGTGTAATAAAACTTGACAGCAAAGCCTGAGTTGTGGTTTGCAGCAACTATGACTCTTTGAAGTATCAGTTTGATACAACAGAAAATATATATGTATTTAAAACTTTCTCTGGAACCACATCAGGCACCTTCTAAAGATGATTCAAAGCAAATACTGTCTAAACACTTCAGCAGTATGGGTTTTGAAGGCTGAAAAATATGGATGTGAAATTTGCAGCTCAAGACCAGCTGCAGCTGGTCTTTCAAACAATAACAAAATAGAGTATGTGTATGAATTTGCTGCATTTGGCTGTTAGGCTTTCAGTGAAAAAGAAACAGGCAAAAAGCCAGTGAACCACAATAAAATGTCAAACTGTTCCATATTTGGAAGCTGCTAAAGCCAGAGGCAATATTCAGGATGAGATCACGGAGCACTGGCTTACAGCTACAGAGAGGGGGCCGAACCTTGAAAGCAGCAGAGCATTAACTGAGAGATAAAAGATGAAGGAAAAGGAATTTTGAAGAGTTTTTGTCTTTTTTCAAATAACAGAGAGAAAAAACATGTAGTGCATTTAGTTCTACTGAATGACGTTGATCTGACTGGCCTTGGGACTTGAGATCACACTCCATTCAAAACCAGATTCAGAATGTATCTCAGTGGTGTCGATTTGCTCTGTTTCAGTAATCCCCTGCACACCTGAACTAAAGTGATAATGCTTATAGGCATCCTATTTAGTCTGTGGCTGCTCAGCTGGAACAGCTTATGACCACGGACAGGGCCTGTGGTACTACATGAACAAATACAGATACACACAGAATGTCCAGACCAGCAGACGCAGCTTACCGAACACAGTAAGAGTCAGGAGTAGATTCCTGTGGAGGGACTGACAGAACTGCACACATATGTTCCTGGATCTGTGCTCCACTGGGCTTAAATGACTTTCATGCATCCGCACTTCTACTTGCTTAGGCATATTGTTGGCACTAGAATAAAAAATGAAAATTAAGTAAGTTATAGCACAAGATGCCAAAAATGAGAGGAAAGTCTGGATTGCTTCCATCATATATAATTGGGGAATATGATGCATATTCCATCACTTTCCACATTTCATAAACACTGTATATTTACTGCTCTGAAGAATTCTCTGAAATGGCAATGGTTTGTCTTTCTAAACGTATAGTCTTTAAGGTATTTTTTTTGTGGTTCTCTCTCTAACGGTGGACATGTAAACAGAAATAATTCACTGGACACATCATCCCAACTGTTTCATGGGCTAAACTATTGGTCTTGAGCTGGAAAATTCAGTTTCCCCAAAGATCATGGCTGTCTACTTAAGTAGGAGAGATGGCTAAAAAACAAAGTTTCCATTAGCAGGAAAATGCAGATTTTTAATACCTTATTTAATTCCAATTCAGGAAAAGAGTTTAAAAATGGGAATTTATTTGCAAAAAAAAAAAACATTCCAGAATATTTAGATTGATCTTCCCAAAACATTTCATTTCAACATTAACATTTTATTGTAATATAATCAGAATGCTGAGGTCAAAAGAATCTTAATCAACTTGGTTCTAATGAGACTTGAACAACTGCCACTGAAAATTAGTCAGAAAACTACGCATTCCCCAATAAAACCTTTGGTTTCATTGAACTGGCATTGTTTAGAGTAAAAGATTTGATTTTTAACTAACTCTGGTTTATATTTAAGTGACATGCACATGAGTGCAGGACTTTGAAAGCCTTGCCTCTAACTTTCTCAATGCCTGAGAAATCATTAGCAATAGACTCCTTTTTTATATACAAAATATTAAAATGTACTTGAAAAAAATACTAAAAATACTACTATAAATCAAACAGTTTCCCTAAAAGTTAAGGCTGTCTACTTAAATATGAGAAATGGGTAAAGAATGAATTTTTTATTATCAAGAAAATATATATATTTTGAGATCTGGTCTTACGCTAAATTAGGACAAGATTTTAGAAAAAGGAAAACAAATCTTCCTCTAAAACAGTAGACTGAGGTTTACAGACCTAAAACAGGTCTGAAAAGATATGTAAAGTTTTGATGTTCTCACTATTAAACCATTTCCAGGGCATCAGAACTCTTTTTGTTATACATAGTACAGCTTGTTGTCTTCATAAAGTTTCTCAACAGAAATTTACAATTAGACCTGTAATAGGAAATCAGTCATTTTGATGCAAATAGTTCCATGATTTTCCTTTTCAAAGTGAAATGGCATTTCTTTCCAATACATTTGGTTGTTAAAAAAGTAGCACCAGCAAAAAATGCATTAGAGGATACATTTTTTTCTTAAGGGGGAAAAAACTCTCCAAGTGTTGTACTTTTTATTTTGTGCCTTTTTAAATATTTTACAACACTGGCTGCAATGAAATGTACTGCTAATGATGGAATAACAAACAAAAGTATCAGCGCACATTCTGAGAGTTTCAACGAGGCATGCCTACTTCTTGAAGACTTATGAATGCAAGTATCAGAGATACATAAGGATTAGTCAAGAGATAATGTGCATAGCAGTCATTTGAGGAATTATGAGAAAGATGAGAAAGTGTCTGCAGTTTTCATGCACACGGGCCACAAAGTCATGAAATCACTGGTGGAAGCGTGCCACAAAATCAAGGAACTTGGGATCCAAACTTTGCAACTGGGGATTACATCTAGTTTCACTTGCTCTGTGAACACAAATGTGTAACTTATTTAGACCTACCATTCACTACAGGTTGATTATATATTCCTCTGAAACTTTGAAATATGGACAGCTGAAAGTAATTCAAAAGAAAACTTACAGGCTCTTCCATTAGCAAATAATTAGGCAGAACTGGAATGGATCAGTAAACAGAAGCACTTGATGATGTTATATGTCTTTCTAGGATTTAGCTTTGGGCTAAGTCTGGTTTCCTGGACCCTTTCCCACCTGACATCATGCCTATAGCTTCATACTGTCCAAAGGAAAGCCACCTCACAAATATATGCTTCCTCAGCTATCAGCCTTTTCTGTAATCCATGGACAACGGAAGCATACCATTCCCCTGACACCATTGCTGAAATAAGTCCTCCCATGGAGAAGCAGGTCTCTGGTCCTGCTCTTGTTTTCAAGCCTTATTTCTATGCTTATCCATTTCTAAGTGACAGCATGGTGTTCGCTGGCCAGATCCCCCTTCCACTCCAAGTCTGGTCAGCATACAAACAAAGGTTCATCAAGGGAGGGGATGGTGGACCTACTCACACAGCTGCAGTTACTACTTCAGGATTATACCCCAAATGAATCAAAGCCAGCCCTGCTTGAGGTGGTCAAACAACTACCTTCTTCAAAATTTCAGCCATGTAAAAACATAGATATCCAAATACCTTCTGAGAAGAGAAGGAAATGAGGACACAAAGCTCTTTAAGGACATTCCTAAATTTCCAGGAATTTAATACCATATTGTGTGCTTCCCTCAAGTGTAAAATATGGGTTTTACATTCTCCAGCTTTTCAAGATTGTAAGTGAACCTTCAGCATGGACTGAAATTCTGATTGGTACTTTATTTTTAAGAAAAAGACCCAATACTAAAATATGCTAACCATGCAGATTTGTTACAAAAAGCATTGACAGATTAATATCATCACATGAAAAATGTTACCACAAAGGATAATAATCTAAGCATTTGCACTGTTAGCACTGCTCTTAGCAATGAGATTTTCATCACCAGAACAAAGTATTGTTCCAG